TCCATTGATAAGGATCCGTGAGAATGCATTAGATGAGCACCTGCCCAGTGATTATGTAAGTGTACTTAGCTCTTGCTTGGGGCTGGGAGGTGGAATGGATGATTTCTTAATGTCCCTTCCAGCCTGATCCTGTCATCCATTGTCTTCAGACTTTTCATCTGAGCCATAGGGCTGGAAATGCTTTTAAAATGGAAACTGAATAGCATCTAACGATGAGGTCTGAGAGTATAGAGTCTACGTAGGTTTACAAAAATCATCACATAGTGTAAGACTGCACACAACAGCAAAACTTGCCAGGTCTATGTTAATAAACTGTGTGTTAAGAGAACCTAATTGGGGCACTGTGCCTCTTGTGCAGCTGGCATACAAATGTGCACGACAGCTCAACTCCTTGCTGAGTACTTCGTGTCCTGTTTAAGATAAGTAGCCAATAACTGGAAGCAAAATGAATATGAAGATCAGCATAATGAAAAGCAAAAAAAAAATTAGGAAAAGATGTGAAAAATATTGATATATTAATTTTTGAAAAAAATTTAGTGTATGAGAGGACATGTGAGATAGCAGATTTGAAAATATAAATAGGAAAGCTTGTATCTTTGGTTTATTATTTGTATTGTTTTTTAAAGGACAGTTGAAAAAGGGCTAGGGTTTTACCTAATTTTAATAGACAGATTAATTTAATGCACTTATTTAATAAAATTTTGACCCTTTGGCTCTAATTTCCAGTTTGATTGGCCCTCTGTTCAACTTCTATTTCTTGATCAGTAATAGAAGCAAAAGGAAGAAACAGGCTCCAAAATGAAATGTGGAATACTGAAAAGGTCAAAGTGGTGCCACCCTGACATGTCACCAAATATATCGCATATCAAAATCTGCTCTCATTTTAGTGACAAAGACCCTGTCTGGGACAAAGCAGAACTGGAAATTAAATATTTTACATGACAACGATTGGAAGGAGATTATTCCAAATCATTCTTCCATGCATTGTTTGAAGACAATTAAATTTATAGAATTTTCTACCCCTATTAAAAAGTTAATGATACCACTATAATCATTTTGACATCATGATCAAATCATTTTGGTACATTGACCAAAGGAATGAATTCATACTAATTGCTTAAGAGTTTAAGCATTAAACTGAAACTTGACTCACTGATACAAACTAAAATGAGGAAAAAAAGGAAGCACATTTTACCAAGTCTTCATTAAACTGTCGTGCTAAATATTATTCTATTTACTTTCTGTTCATTATCTTTGACCAAATAAATGTTGGAAAGTTTCTGATCCAACTTTCTTTTAATGATTCATTTTGCCTGTTATTAGAAACAAATGAATTTACCATTAGAGAGAAAATCATGGGATGCTTTTCCCTTTTTTTTCCCAAAATACAAAAGAATTTGATTCAAATCTCTTTGAGTTCAGCATACTTGCTCAGTGCGATGTTTGTACTGGAAAATGTAACGAATCTACAAACAATATATGAAGTGCTACATGGCACCACAATTCACCACAATTGGTCAACTGCTGATAGGTACTGGCAGTGAAACACTTACTTATTAAACTCTTAGAAGAGGGGGTAAAAATTGTAAAGGCAGGTAGCAGAGCTGATCATTAAGAACAGGTGAGACTTCAGCACTCCTTGCTCCGTTTTGCTTGCAAGTTGATTTTGCACATCTTGACAGAGGTGTAAAAAAGACAGCAAGGACATTTAATCAAAGAGCATTTTTTAAATCTTTGACTGGTCAAAATAACAGCTTCATAGCAGCATTATTCCAGAAGAGAATGATGCACTTAATATCAGGGTGTGACCTTGAATACATGTTTTTTAAGAACAAGGTTCTGCAGTTTTACCTACTCCTTTTATACTGGCAAATTGCAGTTAACAGCATTTTTCCAAGGAGGGACCACAATTACTTTATGATCTTTCATAAGATTGTATCATTACAGTGACAATGAAAACTATATATTAATGACAATGAATGCATGAGCTGAATGAATGCTACAATAGCTTTGTCTGTTTCAGACTTCAACATAGGTAGCTGTATTTTGTTTACAGAGGGAATGGTCTGTGACATTTCTTTGACATGATTCTTAAATCATGTTTGTCTCTTGTCAGTTCATTCAGGGTGTTTACAGTTGTGCATTGTCCCTCTGCTTTTATCCAAATTATTGGATTACTTCTTCACAGAAGAGTCACAGAATAGTTATGGTTATAAGTGGTTCTGAGGATCATCTAGTCCAACTCACCTAGAGCAGGTTACAGAGGAATATGTCCAGGTGGGTTTTGAATGTCTCCAGAGAGGCAGAATTACCTTTCACAATTTTTGGGCTTTAAATTGTCAGTGGGGAAAGTGGAAGTCTACTGGGGAGTGGAGAAGGAGTTTTGAGCAGGAAAATAAAACTTAAGGGGGGTACCATTTCCTTTCCACTTAGACTTTGATTGATAATTTAGAAAAAAAATGGGTTGCTGTTGAGATTAGTTCACATTTCCTGCAGTAATCTCTGCACACATTTGATATAAAGCTAAAGCTTTTTGTATTTTGTTAAGTAAGATGAATGGACTTCTCCCACACCCCCAAGATAGTGTTTAATAGAAGATTAAAAAATCTTGCAACATGAAGATGAAAGAAATACAATACATGAAATGTAACCTTTTCCCCAGAGATATTTCTGCTTTAAAGTCTGTTTTCAGGCATAACAAATTAATTTTCACAACTAATAATATTCTAACATACCCTCGCTAAGGGTAAGCAGTTTAATTCAATTTTAAGTTTTATTTTCATATTTATGCAGATAAAATTCTATTGATAGCACTGTATTTCAAGCTGCAAGCTGTAATTAATAATAACACTATATAATTGGCTACAGGAGCTTCAAAATAAAGCTGAAAAATTACAAAATCAGATGGTAGGTGTATTAATATTGCAAAAGCTTGAAAATTACTCCAGCAGTTTTAATATTTGTACTAATTAGTACCTGATAAAAAACAGTATAATTTATAGGGATTTAAAATGAAGGACTATTTAAATTTCTCTCAGTGGCACTAATCAATGTGATATTCTTTAGCTATAATTATTTTTTTCTCTATAGTTTTAGGGAGATATCTTGGAGCAGTAAACATACTTTCTGTGTGTGCTCTCTGACCCTCCAGTAATTGTAGGAAGAGAGCTTTTAATTCCCTTGAGGTGTTTCTTTTTCAGTCAATTAGTTAAGGCACTTTTAAAATGTCCTATAGGAAGCTCACTAGCTGTAGTACTATAAGTACTACAGAAGTCTCTGTAGTAAGACTTTTTTCTTCCTTTTGCTTCATGTGAACACCAGATATTTGCATTGGTTGTGAACACAAATTCAAAGAATAATAAAGATGTCCAGGAAAGTTTATTTCATCAGTTCTTTTATGCTATGATGTGTTTGTAGCCATTTCAAACCTCATAACTTAGTCATGATATCTAGTTCAATTTTTAAAAATGTATAAATACAAACAAAATTATAAATGTGATCGTGCTAATTTTAAGCAAACAATCTTATTAGATTAAAAATTAGATTCCACAAAAATATTTTTGTTAATATATAGTGTGTGATGCCCATAATGAACATACTTTTTCATGAAGAAAGCTGTTCTTTCAAATGAGGAGCATTTTCCTCTGCAGACTTAAAAGTCTTAGTGTCTAAACTGAAATCAGTAGTTTTAGGGAAGCCATTTCAAATAAGATGTAAGGTGTGCTTTTTAATATTAGATGTGAAAAGGCGTTTCAAAAGTACTAAGGGATAATGGTATTTATTTGAGGTTTAAATTATTAGGAAAAATCTTTCTAAAAGGAAAGGCCAAATTCAGAAATCATTGCTTAAACTGTAGTCTATATTATGCTTAAGACATCTATGATTATAAAGGATCTTTTCTGACCATATAAACTGTTATTAAAATTTCTGAAATAAAAAACAAGATAAATATATAGGTTTTAAGGGGTCATCCGATCACTGAGATGACAGGAATAAAATTTCTCAAATGTTGCTCTTCTGTGTATTGGTCTGTATTACCATTGAGCCTGTAGTCCCTCATAGACTTTGACTTTTTTTTGCTAGGACTCCCAGAGCAAACAATTCACACATAATTAAAAACTCACGTGAAAGCAACGTTAGGAAATGTCTTAATCAAAATGTAGTCATTCTAGTTGTTTATGACCAAATTTCACACAGTCCCATTAAAAGGAAGGGGATTTTAACTCAGTTAGTACCAGTGGATTAGTGGATTCTTGTTTTAAGGAAAAGTATTTGTAAAGTGGATACTGGAAAGGTAATCATCAAGGACACACAATAGGATTTGTGATCTGAACAAAGCTACCCATGCTTTGTTTTTGTATTATGATGTTTTTGTGGTGAAAGACAGAGGAGAGCTATTAGAAAAAAAATAGACAGCTTATCTTCCATGGTGATTTTGCTTAATTTTTTAAAAATAAATTTCAAAAATCTCTTAATAATAAGTCCCAGAAGCTTTACAGATTTTTCCATAAGTGAAATTTCACCCCCGTTTATCAAGAACTGAGTTCCTGTCCTCTTTTTTTTTTTTTTTACATGAACGTCTGTTATTGTCCCTTCTGCAGAAAGTGTTTTCTTCACACAAGATTCAGCCAAGCACCTTCTGTATTGCAGTGGTGTCAATGAATCAGAGATCAAACAGGCCGACTATGGCATAGCCTTGATCAGAGCCTGTATGAGTGAACTTTGCCAACATTTAATGGTTTTGCTTTCCTGGCATGCAGACTTTTGTAAGGAAAGCCTGTATTTAAGGGCACCATCTGAGTAAAACTGACAGGAAGGACCATGGTGACATGGACTTGGGCTGTATTTACATGATTCTTTTGTTAACAGGTCAAAGGGTTCACAGCATTTAAATTATAGTCTTGGTTATTCTCCTGTCAGGAAGAACTGTTTCTGATGTCACAGAATATTCTGAGTTGGAAGGGACCCACAGGGATCATAAAATCCATTTCTTAGGTGAATGGCCTGTGCAGGGATTGAACCTTCACAAGCTTGGTGTTATTAGCATCATGCTCTCACCAGCTGAGCCAGTCTCAGGGTCTTCTGTGATCTAGAATCAATCTCATTCATGTTAAGAAGATACACCTGATAAAGAAAAATTGTTGAGGCTCTTGAGTTTTCTGAGACAATTTCTTTTGTCTCTCTATGGTTTTTTTTGGTCTTGAAATGGTTTTTATTAGTTTTAAATATTTAGCATTTTTGGAAGGCTTTGCTTTCTACCTGGAGAACTGTAAGTTTTAAAAATTGTGTGAGCAATGACTCATGATTGATATTAGCAATATACTCTTACTATCAGCTCTTTTGTGATCTGTGGCTGCAGTTAAAACAATGAAGCACTGGAACTGTCAGACTGAGCCAGACACTGCAAGTCAATATCTTGTCTCCAGTGGTGGCCTCAATACATGGAACAGAAAGACACCAAAATCTTACTTAGTCACTGGCAGAAATACTTATCCAAGGAGTTATTCTGTAACCCCAGGTATTTAGTGGCTGATACTTAGATTTCCTGAAGCATGAAAATACGTATCCATTATAATTCCTTCCTGTTACTATTTTAACCTCACTTGTTAAGTATTCTCTTGTTTGGATGCTACAAATGGTATGCAGGAGAATCCAGTTAACCTCCTTCATAATGTGCCTTCTTACACTCTGGGTTATAAGATACGAAGTAATTGCAGTCTAATGATTTCTGTAGTCACTTCCTGGATCCTTCATTTCATTTATATCTCTGTTAAGATGTGTAGCTATGACTGAACACGCCAAGTAAAGATTTACTTTTGATTTATGTAGTGTCATTGTAATTTCATTTTTATTCTCAGCCCCAATCTTTATGCATCCTGACAAATTGTAAGCTTTTTCTGTTGGCTGCTGGATATCAAGCAAATTATTTCAAAAGCAATCTGTTCTGACACTCAGAGTTTATTAACAAATGGCAACAGCTGATTTAGAGCCCAATGATGTGTGTGAACGATTCCAGGTATTTCTGCCAGCCTGTTCTCCACTGTATTTGTCAATAGCCAATGTTTTTCTATTACATACTTGTTTATCTATCTTTGTGAATACTGTCTCCTCTCTCTGCTCTTGTTTATTTCAAATAATTTTATATAGTTTTCAAAATTTCCAATCTTTCTATTCAATACACTCCCTCTTCTTTTGAAGTGAATTGTGTTCTACAGATCAAACCCTAGTGGCATTTCTAGAGCACGTTTATTAGCCTTTTCCAGTGCTGAGTTTTGGCTGTTTCTATCTATTCCTTCTACTAGTTATTTTTGATCCTCAGGAGTCTCTTCCATCTCCCCACTCCCCAGTTTCTAACTGTTCATCCAAAAGTCATCTAAAAACTGTATTATGAATGTTAATAATCTTTATGCAAAGATGATACATCAGTTTTGGTAGTTAAGTACCATTGCATGATATCTCAGTACTAAGAGCAGAATGCAGAGATATTTGAATTTTCCTTATAAATGTATCTTGTACAACTGTCTGCCTCTCCTGAATGCATTTATTCTTCAAGGTGCTTTAAACTATGTAGGATCATATCTGCTGCTGAGCCTTTGGTACTGGTAGTTTGAGGGTGAAGGTTTGTAATTTTGCTAAATTGAATTTTTGTGACCGTCCAGCTGCGCATGAAGCCCTGACTCAGTCACATAGCCCATGGTCTAGATTAGCCCTAAATGGAACTTGGAATTTCTCTTTCTTCAGAACTCTTGACAGAGTTAATAAATTCATAAACAGAGAGTTTATGAATTAAGACGGAGGGAAATTGCATTATGATTTTTATACAAACTTCTGTATTACAGCTGAAGTATATTTTGTTAAGATTTCAGTATAATTTTAGTTTTGAAAGCTATAAAATGAAACAGAAAATAAATATTTCATCTGATAGCTTTGCAATTATGCCTTCTGATATTAAGAAGAAAAAAAGAACAAATGCAACTGAGACTTTTGAGAGTTCGTTTTCAAGATTTTTCAACAATTTTGTCTGAATGGTAATATCTATTAAAAAAAATCATAAACATAAATGCTACCCAATAATTATCTTTCCTTCCTTCCATAGGCTAAATAATGTTAATAAATGGTGTATGTGCATGATATATAGTCTACTTTCCTGGCCAGTCCTATGGATATCTGGGAAACTATTAAGGCAGACAGTGCTGTTCCTTTTTTTTTCTTTTCTTTTTTTTTTCCCCCTCTCTGAAGAGAAAGCAAAGTGAGAAAACAGCTATTCATCATTCTATTTTTATGTAATAGGTATGTGACTTTATGTCCATTGTTATTTACTGTACTATGATATCTCTACCTCAGTAGTTAGGTAGATGATAGTAGGAGATGCCCGCTATCTTTCTTCCTTTATGTTATGGTAAATTTCAATGTGTTCTGGGCTTTACCAGTGGGATTTTCACCTCTCATTTTATTTCTTTATGACTTTCCCTACTTGTTTTACTGTTTGTTTTGTCACTTGCTGCTATTTTTAATATGCCATGCTGATACAAAATTCTTGAGCTTTGCTCTTCTGAATGATGTAGGAGGGTTGACTGAGTTGAATGTTACAATGCTGACCGTATTCTTGCAAGATTAAATGCAAAGAATGTCTGATTGTAAATGTCAAAGAGATATTCTTGTCTTCATTTTACTTATTTTCTTTCTGTTGTTGAAGAGCAGGGGCCGATATTAAGCCCTGAGTCACAGTAAGCACATGTTTGCTATTAAACATGTAGTGGGGTAGCTTAGCAGTAACAGCTCTCTCTTGGATGTTCACACTGGGGTAACCCTTCAGATACAAGTCATTCCCTCACTTAGCTAGAAATCAATAGAATTCTCTTCAAAGAATAGTATTTCAAAGAATTGCTCTTATTTGTTTTAGAAAAAACATGCATATATGTATGCCTCACTAATATTTGGAAAGACTCCTGCATTGATTTTTTCTTTTCTCTTATAAATGCATGATTTTTATGCAAATTGCAAGCTGTGATACCACCACTTTAAACTGGGATGGCAGAAATATGCATATTGTGAAAACTCAAAACTTGTGAAAAATGATAATATTTTTTTCTCTTGCCAGAAAACAAAGCGTTACTTAGGTCCTCTCAAGGACAGAGTTTTGTGTGATGAAAACAGAGTTGTTCATTCCTCTACTTTCTTAAACACATAATGATTAGAGACTTTTCATCAGTTTCTAGAAGAAACTGAAAGAGAACTAATTGTTTTAAATGCTGACATTCTAACAAAATTGCCAGTCTATCTTTAATATTCATCATAAAAGCAGAATATTTTGACTGGACAATTAATCAAGAGAATGAGTTACAAAACAATACCCTTGAGTAGCAGAGGTGTCATGCAGATAAATCCCTGTATGCATCCCAAAATTTTCCTGCCACATCCATATGGAGCATACTCTACAGTAGCATGCAGAAATGCAGATTGCCCTTCTGATGCCTCATAAGTCATCTTCTCCTTGGGATGCTTGCTGAAGTGCTGTGATTGGGTTGTCATAGAGAGAGGAACAAAATTTCAACCCTCTTGCAAACACAAGAACAAGGAGTTTGTAGATTTCAAAACTGAGAACCGAGTCCATTGAAATGCATGCATCTGTGTAATTTGTAGATGTTAGGAGAGGGATGGAGGGCTAAGAAAAACAAAAAATATCTCAACACCTTGATGATTCCTACAAACATTTATGCTGGAAATGTTTTAAATGGTCCATGAGAATTGTATGATGTAATTAATCCTGAGGATGTTAATGCTCTCTAAGGTAAGATCAACCACACCTGTTTACAGGAGTACTAAGTCAAGATCTGTTTTCTTTTAAAAATGGGAACAAAAAGTCTGAACAAAACTTGTGGTGAATTTCTTTATTTTTTGTAGTGATTCCTATCTTCCTTTTAACCTATTTTCCTTTATTTTTGAGTGTGGATGGGTGTCTATTTATATTCTGCATGGACCCCTTCCTTTGATATAGCATGCAAATCCTGAAACATCTTGGGACCTAAAATGATGAGAGAGAACGGTATTGCGTAGTCCCAGGAAATAAGCAACCTTCATTTTATAAAAGTTTAAGCTAAAGTTTGGTATGAGTACCATGGAACCCTGCTTTCATGGTAGAATGGGAGGCTGTACAGCTCATCAGAGCCTGCCCAGCTCTTTGGTCACTTTGCAGAGTTCCCATGGATAAAGGGAATAAAGCACAAAAGGAGCCCCTTTTTGCTGCTGTGTTCAGACAGGAGCCAGACAGAGGCAGTACGTCTGCATGCCCTCTGCCACGTGCATTGTCATACATTCTGCTGGCACATTGGATTTGCTGTGAGATGCATTACAACATTTCCTAGGGCCAGTAAATTGAGTTATATGATTGTAAGTATTTCACCTAATATGGTAGTGCACTTAAAGTGCAGATAATCATTCTGGTCAATTTATACAAATTGTCAAACTTCATAATTAGTTCCATTATATTGTGGCATTTTATGGATTAAATAATTTCAAAATTTATTCAGGAGGTAGAAATATTAATAATCTTTGATTAAAATATTTTGATTAGTTAATGTTTTTGTATTTTTTTTGTTTTTCACAGAATCATTATCTTTGTAAACTATAATTCCCCTTTCACAGAAGTGAAAAGTTAGAGCCAATTGTGGTTACTGTGCTAGAGAGAGAGAAAGCAAGAACAGCAACACACATGGGCCTCTTTAGGGAAAAAAGACCATCTTTATTGAGCGGACAACCCATATTTAAAGCATGTTCTGCAGAGCTAAGACAAGGCAGTAGCTCATTGGATAATTGGGAAAAACGTCTGTGGGACAGCACTTCAGAATGAGTCCCACAGTCAACACCAGGTGCTAATCTCTATTTTGAATTCCATTCTGTTTTGACCAGATTATCATCCTGGGAGAAATTCTCCCTAACTGAAGCTGAACAAACTTATCAGCCTGGGAATGGAGCTGAGAGACCAGGAGAAGCTCTGGCCCGAAAGTGATTTTCCAGGCTGTAATTTTCCTAGCTCTCTAACAGTGTCCACAGGCAACCTGAAGATATTCTT